TTCCAGATGTTTTGGAATACAAATCTATCTCTGGATTTGGCCAAGCTGGCTGAGGTTGGTGAGAGACAAAATCTAAGATAAATCACCTGCCTGATTTGCAACTTTTTTTTTTTTTCAGAATTGAAAAGTCTATGTAAAGAAAGTAACAGTGCAATCCTGTACAATCGGGAGTAGCCAACTTGCGGCCCACAGACTGCATGCAGCCCTCAACAGCTAGTAATGTGGCCACACAAGATCATAAACTTTTAACATTATCTACATTTCTTAGGCAAGTGAGCTAGCATTGTCCAAAGACGCTTCCGTGGTCATATGGCCAACATGACTATACGTCAAGGCTCACAGAACACTGTTACCTTCCCACTGAAATGGTACCTATTTATCTACTTGCATGTACATGCTTTCGAATTGGTAGGTTGGCAGGAGCTGGGGCAAGTAACGGAAGCTCACCCTGTCCTGCAGGGCCCAGGTCTGGAACCCAGACTGTAAGCTTTCCAGCTGATAAGCTCAGCATCTTTAACTGCTGAGCCATTTTTTTAACTGTATTATATATTTTATTTGTGGTCCACAAGAATTCCTCTTCACTTAAGGCGGCCCAAGCAAGGCAAAAGGTTGAACACGCCCGCTGTACGTGATTAAAGGCTAATATCTTTGAGTAAATTCAGCTTACCCTTAGGTAAAGAGCTATAGGACTATAACAGGATATAAAACATATGGCCAATGAGAAAGGGCTGTTATAATCGGGTAAAAATTGAAAAGTCCATCCTGCTTAATCTTAATTTTCCACCTTGTTTCTCCACCCACATTTTTATTTTGCTATTCAGTTTTTTAATGTATCGCAATGTCACCCTTAAATATTAATGCAGCAATAGATTTTATTTCTACATTTGTGCTCTGCTTTAAGATAACTACACAGGAAATGACCTATATATTCAATAAATGCAGGAAACAGTATTATAAACAATTTAAGGAATGATAATCACCCTTTCTCAGTTTCAGATATGCTTGAACTACATCTCCCAGAATTAAAGTCAGCCTGGATGCGTAGACCCAGCATGCCTGGAGGCCATCCACTTGGAGATGATATTCCAAGACAATAAAAACCACAGGAAGGAAACTACCAAGAATGTTCCCTCATCACTAAAGCCAAATGAAAATATTCCAGGGTTGAGAAAACTACAGCCCAAAGGATGCTGGGAATTCTACAAATCGAATTAAGTCCTGAAGAAAACCACTAATATGTCAAAAAAATGAAATGCAGCCTTTAACATATTTAGTGGATCTTTCTGTAAATCAGTGGAATCTATAGAGCAGTTTTTAACGGTGGTAAGATGTTTAGACTTCAACTCCCAGAATTTCATGCAAGGAGGGGAATTCTGGGAATTGAAGTCAAGATATCTTAAAGATGCCAAGGTTGGGAAACACTGTTACAGAGAATTAGAGTTCCTGGAAAGTAATGTGGGACAAGAAGAGAACTAGAAATAGGAAAATAAATAAAGATATAAGATAAATAAAGATAAGGAGGTTGTTCGTCCAATGATTTCTTCTCAGAGTTGTGTAGAACTTGATTTTGCCCAGAGATATTTGCTGGAATGAAAGTGAGGCAGAAAGGGTGGGGAAGAACAAAAGAATGAGAATAAAGGACAGGTAAGAAGGAGATTATATATGGAGGGAGGGAAGCATTCAGCCCATCCCAAGTGCTCACAACTAACTGGTGGAAGAAGATGGAAGATTGACATAAAAAGTCTTTGAAGGGAGAAAAATTGGAAAGAACCAGGCTAAGTGTTCAGAATGAAAATGGCAAAAGAATAACAGGCAAAACTAGCCTGAAAAATGTTAGGAAGTCTGAAAATTCACAAAAAAAGCCAGCAAAACAGTTGAAATAATTGTTTTGGGGGGGGGGGGATCAACAAGAGGCAATGTGGTGTAGCGGTTAAGGTGCTAGGCTAGAAATCAGGAGAATATGAATTCTAGTTCTGCCTTAGGTATGACAGCTTGACTAGGTAACTTTAGGCCAATCATTTTCTCTCAGCCTAACTCACCTTACAAGGTTGCTGCTGTGGGGGAAAAAGAGGGGAAAAAGAGAACAAGTAGTCCTCAATTTACAACCATAATTGAACCCAAAATGTCTTTTGCTAAGTGAAACATTTGTTAAGTGAGTTTTACTCCATCTTACAACCTTTCTTGCCACAGTTGTTAAGTGAACCTCTGCAGTTGTTATGTTAGTAACATGGTTGTTAAGTGAATCTGGCTTCCCCATTGACCTTGCTTATCAGAAGGTCGCAAAAGGGGATCACATGACCCTGAGACACTGCAAGCATCATAACTATGAATCAGTTGCCAAGCATCTGAATTTTGATCATGTGACTGTGGGGATGCTACTGTGATCGTTAAGTGTGAAAAAACAGTCATGCCACTTTTTTCAGTGCCACTGTAACTTTGAACCGTCACTAAACAAACTTTTGTAAGTCAAGGATTACCTGTATTATGGATGTTCTCTGCCTTGAGTTACTTATAAAGTAATTAAGGCAGGATAAAAATCTAATAAATACAGAAGGACAGAGCTAGATAAGATTGAAGAGGGATGACAATGAAAAAACAAACATTCTTACCCGAATCTCCAATGATAAGCAATTTAAACAAGTGGTCATAATCCTTGGCAGCCATTCACGGTGCTGGGACAGCTTCTGTCACTTCTGTATCTCACACTCGGTTCCTCCCTGGAGGGCTTTTCCTCAATTTCCCACAGGATTGGCTTCACAGCCTCATCACAGCTCGCTGAGGCCGAACAGCGTCCAAAGATTGCGAACAATTTCCAAGTACAGGAACGGAGTCAATCCGTGAGGATTCACCGTCTTTTCTTCCAAAAAAATACCGTAAAGAGCATGGAAATGTTTGTAACTTAGCCCCAAGATGGGAAGATGTCAAAACTTCCTGGGAAGATGTCAAAACTTTTTTTCTTTTGCTTCCAAATGTTTTTTCCTTCCCTTGGGGGTTCAAATGACAGAGGAACACAGTCCAGTTTGTGAGTTCAAAAGCAGTTTCTTCTTCTGCCAAACAACTGTAGGATGTACGTTGATTGTTCTGGCGTTTTGTCCTCCAATACCGGAATCACGGTTTGCTAAGATCTTGGCTTCGCTTGTTGTGGGAAGGGAAGCAGACAGAAATGGTTAAATGTTTCTGAGCCAATCGGGAGGGAAGGGGGGAGATTTCTCCCAAATCCCTGTCTTACCCAAAAAGCGATGCAGTGTAGAAAATAGTTAACTGGGAACAAAACAAAACAAAAAATGAGGAAAAAGGGGCAGGGAGAGAAATAAACCCTTTTTCTTCTTTTTTTTTTTTTCCTCCAGTCTTTTAATCCCAGCCTTTAAAAGAGAACAAGATTCGACTCCCTTAAAAACAATGATTCTGACTGTTAAAAACGAAAGCAGGACAGAAAGGTAAGTGGTTGTTTAAAAGGAAGGAGGTGAGAATTTAGATCCTCATTCCAAAAAAGATCCAGAAAACAAATGGAACAGCATGGAAACGGAGCGCAGCATCACAGAAGAAGAAGACCCCTTGCCATGGTGAAGAGGATGATCCGATCGGATTTTTTGTATTTTTTTTGTTTAAAAAAAAAAGGGGGGGGGGGAAACCGGGGGGGGGGGGGTGGGGATCAGAAGACCCAATCGAGGTCGGAGGGAAACAGGCTGGGAGTTTCCCTAAAAAAGGGTTTGGCCAAGAGGAAGAAGGATCGCAAAGTTTTCCCCAACTACCTTCTCTTTTTTTGTTTTCCCCAAGAAAAGAAGGCAAGAGAGAAAGGAGAGAAGAAACAAACAAACAAAAAAAAAAAAAAAGGTCGAAGGGAGGGAGAACGGGAAAAAACGCCGCTGCAGGAATCAATGAAGGAGGCGAGGAGAAGAGCCGGGCGCAAGGCGGCCTGCGGGAGGCATTGCGACGGGAGTCAAGGAGCTCAACGCTGAATCAGCTGCCAGGCTTAGGCGGGTCTCCCGCGGGTGGTGGGTGGGTGGGTGGCGGTGATGGAAGCTGCCTGCCTGCCCTTCCTTCCTCGTCCCCTGCCGGACGCGGCTCTGGCTGGGATCAGATGACCGGCAGGTCCCCGCAGCCCCGCGCCTTCCTTCCTCGTCCCCTCCTACGGCCGCCGCTTCCCGACTGGATCGCCCAAAGGAGCGTTCGAACCAGGCGGAGGGAGAGCGAGGGGGCGGGGCCTGCCTTGTAATGGGCGGCGCCTTATGTTATAATGGGCGGCGCTTAGCGACGGAGGGCGACGGCGGGGCGGGGCCACAAGGGGGGGAGACAGAATAAAGAGAGGGCGGGGCTTGGAGGAGTCTCGGGATCAGCCCCCTTGCGGCGGGGGGGGGGGGGGAAGGGAGGGAGAGAGAGGTGGGTTTATTTGTGTGTGTGTGATGTGTGTCCCCGCGTGCTGGGGTTAAAGGTACAGACCATTTTAAAAAAATTGATATTTAAAAGATATCAATTAAATATTGATATTTAATCAGTATTTGATTAAATATCAGTATTTGATTATAATCAGTATTTGATTAAATATCAATATCAAATATCTCCTTCATTGATTCCTGCAGCGGCATTTTTTCCCGTTCGACCTTTTTTTTTTTTCCTTCTCTCCCTTCTCTCTTGCCTTCTTTTCTTGGGGGGGGGGGAGGAAATATTGTAATATATTTATTTATTCAGACGTGCATTGTCCAGCCGGACCTCTCCCTCTTCCAGCGTTTAAAACGCCTGCTGCATGCGGCAGCGGGCTCCAACCTCAGACGAAGGGGACTACAATGACTATCCTCCCAGGCCTTGCACAGGGCATGGGGATCTGGAGGCTGCCTGCTTAAGGATGGCAGCAGCCGGGGGAAAAAAGGGGCCGCTACAAGGTTGGGTCCCAGTGGGTAAAACCAGGATTTATTTCCTCCCTTCTCTCCCCCGCCCCCCCTCCCCGGCCACTCCGCCCAGCGAGGATGCGGAGAAGGCAGCTTGGTGGAGATCGGTGGGTTTCCGAGCAGGGTCGATAGAGGGAAGAAAGCTTGTTGAAAAAAATAGTAATAATAAGAGTAACCATCTGGAGAAACAGAACAAAGGGGAAAAATTTTTTTTTAAAGTGGTTTGAAGGGAGAGGGAAGAGATGCGACCCAGAGGAAGGTGGCACTTATTAATAAAAGTGGGAAAAATTACATTATAGGGTGTGTCTATGTTTGGCTGCATCTAAACACGAGGCTCCGGACGAGGTTTCGCCTTTTCACAGCTGCGGTGGGCGCAGCGACTTCCTTTGCAGCCGGGGAAAACTGTGAGTCGGATTTCCAAATGGGGGTGGGGTGGCTGGATTTGGAGCAGCCCCTTGGCAGAAAAGAGCCCCGGGTAGGGACAGCACTTTGGCTGTTCTCCAAACAATTGGGTGGAATTGGATCTGAATGGATGGGTGACCACAAGGAAATCCCAAGACTAGACTGCAAAGGGGGAGGGAAAAACTTGGCACAAGTCAGCGCAAACGCTTCTCTCTCTTTTACTGCTGAGAAAGTTGGGTGAGTGTGTCCCCAAAGTACCAGAAATAAACTAGATTCTTTTAACTTTTGGCAGAAGAAGCCACTGGCAGGATTCCTAGCTCAGGGTCTCCCCCACCCCCCTCCTGCCTAGGGACAGGCATCCTGCCACCTGTCCAAATAATCTACATCAGTGTTTTTCAATCTCAGCAACTTTAAAATGTGTGGACTTCAACTCCCAGAATTCTCCAGCCAGCATTTGTTGTTAGTTGCAAAGTCATGTCCGACCCATCGCGACCTTATGGACAATCTTCCTCCAGGCCTTCCTGTCCTCTACCATCCTCTGGAGTCCATTTAAGCTCATGCCCACTGCTTCAGTGACTCCATCCAGCCACCTCACTCTCTGTCGTCCCTTTCTTCTTTTGCCCTCAATCTTTCCCAGCATTAGGCTCTTCTCCAGGGAGTCCTTCCTTCTCATTAGGTGGCCAAAGGATTTGAGTTTCATCTTCTGGCCTTCTAAAGAGCAGTCAGGGTTGATCTCCTCTAGAATCGACCGGTTTGATCACCTTGCAATCCAAGGGACTCGCAGGAGTCTTCTCCAGCACCAGAGTTCAAAGGCCTCAATTCTTTGGCACTCAGCCTTTCTTATGGTCCAACTTTCACAATCATTCATTGCAACTGGGAAATCCATAGCCTTGACTATACACACTTTTGTTGGCAGGGTGATGTTTTTGCTTTTTAGTATGCTGTCTAACTTTGCCATAGCTTTCCTCCCCAGGAGCAAGCGTCTTTTAATTTCTTGGCTGCGGTGATCTTGGAGCCCAGGAAAATAAAATCTGTCACTACCTCCATTTCTTCCCCATCTATTTGCCAGGGATTGAGAGGGCCGGGAGTCATGATCATAGTTTTCTTAATGTTGAGTTTCCAGCCATCATAGTATAGCATAACTGGCTGGGGAATTCTGGGAGTTGAAGTCCGCACATCTTAAAGCTGTTGCGATTGAGAAGCGCTGAACTAAATGCAGCTTCCTGGTTTGAGAGAGGAGTGATGGGGTGGGGTACGGATTGTCCATGCCTGTGACTGTTTGCTTTGACCATCTGCCTGACCCATCCGTTCTGCATTCCTCTCCAGAGGGTTGGGATGCCAGTTGCAGCCGCCCCCTCTGTTTTGCAAGAGACGCGCATTGTTCTCTGCTTAGGCCCACCATGAGAAAAGGAAAATGCCACCCAGAGGGATGCAGCTGGCGCAGAAAGGCAAGAGTGCCCACAGGCCAGTGATTGTGGCACAGGCTGGCATTTCCTCCGTTAGAATCACAACTTTTACTACTGCAAAAGCAAAGGGCAGACTCAATGTTGGTGAGCTTTTATTCAACTCCCATGAAAAATATTTTTTTAAAAAAAATTGGTTGAATCAGCTTGGTTTAAATCCTTACTGATGGTAGACAGTATAATATTTTACTCCTTAGAAATACCTGGCAAACTCTTGTTTTCTCTTTTGATCCATATTGGCATTATTTTGTTCCCAATCTACATTTTAAACATTAAAATTCTGGGGAAAAAAGGGGTTTTCCTGCTAACCAACAGCAACAAAGACACAGAACTACCACATTCTAAATACCGGTAGTTCTCCACTTACGACCACAACTGAGCCCAAAATTTTCAATGCTAAGCAAGACAATTGTTCAGTGAGTTTTTTCCCATTTCATGACCTTTCTTGCCACAGTTGTTAAATGAAGTATTGCAGTTGTTACAAGTGTGGTCGTAAGGTGAATCTGGCTTTGTCATTGACTTTGCTTGTCAGAAGGTCGCAAAAGGGATCACATGATTCTGGATCATGGTAACGGTCATAAATACATGCCAGTTGCCACTGTTGATCGTATGACCCTCAGGATACAACTGTCAAAAGTCACATTTTTCTGAGCCATAGTAACTTCAGTCAAACAAATGAATGGTTGAAATTCGAGGACTACCTGTAATTGGCTACTTAATAGCCCATCAGCTGCATCCAAACATTCTCACCCTACCAATGGGAAGCTATATTTTGATAGCCCATCATCCCCAGCCTATTATTATTTTGGCAAGAGATTCTCTCAAATTTTCTGAAAGACCCAGCAGGGGATCAGAAGCAATTTAAGGTGCAGGGCAGGGATGAAATGCTCCCGGTTCGGACCGGATTGCCCGATCCGGTAGCGATGGAGGCGGGTGGTTCGGAGAATCGGTAGCAAAAATCCCTGCCCCCCCCCCCCATGCCCAGCTGAGCCGCACAATCATCAGAGGCTTTTTTTTTACTTTTAAAAGCATTTTTCTACAACCTCTTTGGCTTTAAAAAATGCTTTTTTAAAAAAAAGCCTCTGATGATCGCGTTGCTCAGCTGGGATCGTCAAAGATCCCAGATGAGTTGCCTGATCAGCAGAGGCTTTTTTTTTTAAATACCTCTGACGATCCAAGCTGCGTTTCCTGATCGGCAGAGGCTTTTTTTCTTTTAAAAGCCTCTGACAATCCAAGCTGAGTTGCCTGATCGACAGAGGCTTTTTTTCTTTTAAAAGCCTCTGACGATCCAAGCTGAGTTGCCTGATCGTCAGAGGCATTTAAAAGAAAAAAAGCCTTCGCTGAAGAGGTTGTAGAAAAAATGGTTTTAAAAGTAAAAATAATAATAATTGGCCATGCCCACATTACTACCACCACCACCAAGCCATGCCCACAGAACCGGTAGTAACAAATTTTAGATTTCATCACTGGTGCAGGGGTGTGTGTGTGTCACATTTCAAAATATACTTGTGCAAGTGAAATGGGAAGACCATCTAAACTCACCCCAGGCTATGCTTTTCAGATATACGTGGTCAGTTATGTTCAAACATATAGGGTTGTAGAAAGTTAGCACCCACCCTTCTCCTAGAAAAATGAAATACTGTAGGAAATATTAAAAAAACAAAATATTATACCTCCCTGGATGAGAAAAGGAGAAACATGCTCTTGGAAAACAGCCCCCACCTTTGTTAATAGCCCCAGAAAGACTGGTGCCAACCTATCTACAAGACAAAAGGCTGGGCCAGCTTATCTACAACATAAAAGACCTTCACCCTCTGGACATAATAAGATTAGCCCTCTACCCATCTCATTACATGGCACCTGGGAAGATTACATTACCCAGCAAGATTCAACCAAGCCTGGGACTCAAGACAACCTACAAAGTTACCCCTGCATGGCCCCATGGGAGTCTGACAAACAATCAGAATATATTTCTTTCACAGGAACAGGAAGCAAATTCAAACCCCAAGAGAGGGTATAAATAACACTCACTCTCCACTCCATGTGGTCAGCTACCCAGGACTTCAAACCATGTGGTCCTGTCCACCATTAAACCATCTTTCCAAGCAAACTCCATGTTTCCAGTCTCTTTCTCCCCACTTGGAACTCCCCAATGGGCCATTTCTTCCAACAGGGTGAGGAACTACAGGCCCTTTAGGACTTGTGAACTTCAACTTCCAGAATTCCTGAGCCCGCCATGGTGACTCAGGCATTCTGGGAGTTGAAGTCCACAAGTCATACAGGCGCCATAGTTCCCCACTTCTGGTATAGAGTTAGAACAGAAGGATTCAAAATCATTTCACTAGCCTGTTTATTTTTTAAACAAATGTATATAGCTGCCCAATTCACACACAATGACTCTGGGCAGCTGTTACGTCGGCTACTGTAGTGAACTGATTTCATAGTTAAGTCCCACAGTTCTTCAGATGGAAAACAGGAGATCATGAGTTCAGCTCCGACGCTTAACCTCTATTCTTCTATTCTATTCTATTCTATTCTATTCTATTTATTCTATTCTATTCTATTCTATTCTATTCTATTCTATTCTATTCTATTCTATTCTCTCTCAGCCCAACCTACCTCACAGAGTTGTTGTTGTGGGGAAAATAGGAGGAAAAGGAGTTGCATTTACTTGCTGTCTTGCGATAGAGGTTGTCCTTGTCTTATGAACACAATTGCGCCCAAAATTTTCCTGACTAAGCAAGACAGATGCAAAGTGAGTTGCGCGCCCCATTTTACAACCTTTTGCTATGGTTGTTAAGCAAATCACTGAAGTTATTAAGTGAACCATAAGGTTGTTAAGCGAATCTGGCTTCCCCCATTGACTTGCAAATGATGATTCCAGGACCCTGGGATGCTGCAACCATTGTAAATACATGTGAGTTGCCAAGCGTACAAATTTCAATCATGTGATTGTGGGAATGCTGGGTCAGTCATAAGTGTGAGGAACGGTTGTACGTCACTGTTTTCAACCATTGTAACTTCAAATGGTTGCTAAACGAATGGTTTTAAGATGAGGACTACCTACATGGCTTTGCATACCCTTCTGGAGGCAGCTGGACTAGATTATAGTGTAGATCCAAACCAGTGGGTAAGTGGGTTCTACTTACCTTTACTACCAGTTCGCAATGGGGCCACGCACACGCGCCTGCTTCGCTCGCTCGCCCACATTCTCTTCTGCGCATGCACAGAAGCTTCTACACATGAGCAGAAGCGTTCTGATGACGTCAGGGTTGGTGGGCGGAGCCTCCCACCGGTTTTACTACCGGTTCTATAGAACCGGTACGAACTGGGGGCAACCCACCACTGATCCAAACTCTTATGAATGGTAAAGTCACTGCAGCATGAACAGAGTTACAACGTCTGGTCATAAATTCTGCTCAGATTCCTGAGTATTATTAGATTAATTCCTGTCTTGATCTGTTTAAGAATCCGGTTTCCCAGAATCCCCTGCTCAATGTTGTGAAGCCCTACTTTCCCCCTGAAAATAAGGTTTCCAACAGAAGTGTCAGAGAAGCGTGAAGAGCAAGTTCCATTTATTAAATTTGTATTAACAAATTTACAACAAAAATACTCTATAGCAATATAGAATTTCTTCTTCATAGATAAATAAATCTCTGTCTGGATCAGGCATGTCAGCTTTGGTATTGAAACCGAAATATATTTATATATATTCTTCTGTATGTTAAATAGCAGTAGAAATTATATGTGCAAAATAGTATCTTCTTGTTGTTTCTTGTTTGCATGCAACAGGAAGAGAAAAGGGAGGAGGAAGAGGAAAGAGCATTACTGCCCTCTGCTGGTGTTCCTGCAACATGACTGAAGCTCATTTGCAGAAATATACAGTATGCAGAATTTTTTGGAAGCCACAAATATATATACTTTATAAAAAGCAATTTATAGAGAAAACCTCAGTCAGCCTTCCCTGATTTGATGTTCTCCGGATGAGTAGGGGCTACAGCAGTGTTTCTCAACTTTAAGATTGTAGAACTACAACTCCCAGAATTCCTCAGCCAGCATAACTGGCTAAGAAAGTCTGGGAGTTAAAGTCCACACATCTTAAAAGCTGTCAAAGCTGAGAAATACTGGGCCACAGTGTCCAGAATTCCCAGGAATATGGCAGTCTTGGCTAGGAATTCTAGGATTTATAGTCCCAACACAGCCAGAGGGAGGCTGGTATAGGTTGATCTTATTCAAGAGGACATCCTAATGCAGGGGTCTCCAAACTGGGCAATTTTAAGACTTGTGGACTTCAATTCTTAGAATTCCTCAGTCAGCCATGCTTCTGGGGAATTCTGGGAGTTGAAGTCCATAAGTTTGAAGACCTCTGTTCTAATTCATTGCAGAGTATAATACTGGTGCATTTTGAAGGGAGACTCTTATGCCCATGAGCTATGCAATATTTCAGGTGGAATTGACAAAATATTTTTTTATTTGTTTTAGAGTTGGAAGGTACCTTGGAGGTCTTCTAGTCCAGCCCCCTGCTCAGGCAGAAAACCCTAGCCCATTTCAGACAAATGGCTGTCCAATCTTTTCTTTAAAACTTCCAGTGTTGTTGAATTCACAACTTCTTCTCCTCTGCCTGCCTGGATTTTAAGAATCTGGCCCAGATTCTCTTTTATTTTCCATTATCTATCCTATTAACCTTGGATACATTCTTTGGTATTCACTCTTTAAGGCAAGAAGAGAGCCTTGAGGCTTAATCAATGTTTCCCAGAAAATAGATGTGTCTACATAGCTACTAGCAGCTGAGTTCAACCCCTTTTTTTAACCGTGAAAAGTTAAATAGGGTCTGCTGCGACGAACAGTTTGCTAGAGGGTATCCGTGGGATGTGGGTCAAAAATTCAAGATGGCAGCTGCAGGAGTGAAGCTGCCATCTTGATTTTTTTTCATTTCCCCCTCCAGGGATGTTGCTGTTTTGCCAGCAGTTGTCTCCCACTTGAAAGAAGTGAACATTACAAGTCTTTCTTGACTTAGGACCACAATTGAGCCCAACTCCTTAGCAAATCAATTGTTCAGTGACTTGTGCCCCATTTTACGATGTATCTTGCCAGTTATTAAGTGAATCATTGCACATCAACCTTCATAAATGTGATCTCATGACCGAGTGGAGACTACAATGGTCATTATGTGAACAATGGTCATAAGCCACATTTTTCAGTGCTGTTCCAACTTTGAAATGTCACTAAATGAGTGGTTCTAAATCGAGGACTACCTGTAATCTATTTCTTCTTTGCAAGGGAGGGATGTGAGATTAATGTGCCCCTTCCTACCAATCTTGATTCTATGAAAAAGTGAAGGATCAGAAGCCATGTTTCTAGCTCCATTCCATCAAAAGCTAGGTGCTGGGACCTGTAGATGTCTCGAGCTGCCACTCTGGAATAATCCACTTAGCTGAGTCATGTCTCCAATTCACCAGAAGAGGGTGATCTTAGAACTTGGAGCAGAGATTGGCCAACTGATGTTGGAAACCTAGATGTGTTTTAAAAGAGAGACCCAATGTTAGTGTTTTACAATCCAGTATAACTACTAAAAGAGAATTGCATTTAATTGCATGACTTTAGTCAGCTCATTCAATTGGCTGACTGATGCCATCCACTTGATTTGACTGTGATTCAGACTGGAACGCTCTACCTCGTTCTTCTTGGATGGTCTTCAATAGTATTTGAATTGTGCCAGCTGGGAATTATTGGTCTGAATATCGGAAAAGCATCTGGCTGCATGATGTTGTTACACGGTCAGTCGGGAGGTCCAACCTTAGCAACTTTAAGACCTGTGAACTTCAACTCCCAGAATTCCTCAGTCAGCCATGCTGGCTGGGAAACTCTGGGAGTTAAAGTCCTTAAATCTTAAAGTTGCCAAGGTTGGACGTTCTTGGACTAGATGATTCCAAGATATGAAACCTCCAACTGCTCTAAGTTAAATACGACTGAAATACATGAATCACCAAATTACACCACCCCAAAGCTGTGATTGAATGGAATGCTCTAAACATGCCTTGAGATAAGCAGATCTTGCTAACTGAGAAAGGCAAGGAATCCTATTGGTATACTGCCAACCTTGAAAGCTCTCATAAGAAGAATCACAGAGGTTCCTCTGTGGAAGTATGGTTGGCTAACCATATTCCCAAGAAATTCCTGTCTCTTTTCAAACACTCTACATCTACCGCTATGTTATGAGTTCTTGTAAAGGGATTTTTGGAGCCATAATTGGCATGGATTCCTCTACAAATTTGTCCTGGGATGCACTCAACCAAACAACATATCGGGGGCAGGACCTGGAGCAAAAAAAGGTAAAGATTTCCCTGTTGGTCATTTCCAAATCTAGAGCACAGTGCTCATCTCTGTTTCTTGGCCGAGGGAGCCAGCATTGTCTGAAGACAATTTCTGTGGTCATGTGGCCAGTATAGCTATATACCAGTGTTGGCAAATCTTTTCGGCACTGTGTGCCGTGCACAGGCATGCATGCCAGAAACCAGAAGAGCAGCCACCCGGTGTGCATGCGCACGCCGGGAAGATGATCTTTTGGTTTCCGGTGCATGCAGGTGCACCGGCCAGCTGGTCTTCATGCGCACATGCGTTCCAGAAACCAGAAGACCAGGTGGCCAGTGCATGCATGCACACTGGGCAGCTGCTCTCCCAGTTTCTGACGCTCCCGTGCGCGTCAAGACCAGCTGGCTGGAGCACTGAAACCTGGAAGAGGAATGGGCAATGGCTTGCGTGCCCAGGGAGATGGCTCTGCATGCCACTTCCGGCATGCGTGCTATAGGTTCACCATCATGGCTATATACCAAAGGTGCGTGGAATACTGTTACCTTCCCACCAAAATGGTACCTATTTATCTACTAGCATTTTCATGCTTTCGAACTGGTAGGTGGCCAGGAGCTGAGGCAGGTAACGGGAGCTCACCCCATTGCGCAGAGCTCGGGTCTTGAACCCAGGCTGACAGTTCTCTAGCTGACAGCATAACCCCATTTTTTCCAATATCTTTATGAGTGGGACACAGAATAAGAGAACAAGTTCTTGGCCTATATGGGTTTGAAGTTCCTTAAAAGGCTCTTGAACTCATTCAGCCTTTGTCCCTACAAGATGTCCGTCACAGGAGCCTCTATATTGTGTCTCTTTATTATCCAGTCCGGCCTTTGCATTCCCTTCGCCCATTTTCCTGCCTTCAGCCATATTAGAAATTCCACACCTTCAACAATTCAGCTTTTCCGGAAGAATGAGAAGAAGCCCGTGCCACTGGGCATGCTGGCACCAGCCCGAAATAATTCAGGACCCTTGCCTTGTGTCGGTGGCTTTGGTGGTGGGGTGAGGCAGTGGCGTTCTTCCCGCTGTTTCTGGAGAAGTTGCTGGTGAATTATATACTGAATATCATCCTGTAAGCCGCAAAGAAAAAAGAGAATATTCTGATCAACGTGAAATAGAATCCAGAAATCCTCTCTTGAATGTCTCTGGAGCAATATCAGATATGCTGTCCCAATCCATCTTCATTTAAAAGGGTTCATCTGCTTATAATAGAGGTAGTCCTCAACTTACAACTATATTTAGGACCAGAATTTCCATTGCTAAGCAAGGGCATTGTTAAATGAGTTGTGCCAGATTTTATGATTTTTTTTGGCCACAGTTCAGTGACTTAGTGTAGTTTTTAAATGAATCATGCAGTCATTAAGCAAATACAGATTCCACCATTGATCTTGCTTGTCAGAAGCATCTGGGAAATGGTTGTAAATGGCAGTCACATGACATTGGGACAGTGCAACCATCATACATATCCCTAGCAGTAGCACTTAAGATTTATATACCGCTTCATAGTGCTTTATAGCTCTCTCTAAGCAGTTTACAGAGTCAATGTATTGCGCCCAACAATCTGGGTCCTCATTTTACTGATCTCGGAAGGATGGAAGGCTGAGTCAACCTTGAGCCAGTCAGAATCGAACTGCTGGCAATTGGCAGAGTTAACCTGCAATACTGCATTCTAACCACCGTGCCCCCAGGGCTCTTTCCACACATAAATACATGCTGCAGAGTGTAGAGTGCCCAAATGTGGATCACATGACAGTGGGGATGCTGTGATGGTTGTCCTATAAGTGTGAGGACTGCTTCTAAGTCATTTTTTTCAGTGCCTTTGTAACTTGGAACAATCATTTAACAAACCATTGCAAGCCAAGAACTACCTGTTATTTTGAATGAAAGGACAATTTTGCTCTTGGAAACTCCCACTTGTAAAGTATTTTTGCCTCAAATGCTCCAAGCAAAGACAAAAGAGATGACTGTGATTTTATTTTGGCTGTGGAAACGGAATGTCATGATTTGTTCCTAATAATAGAGTTGTATCATTTTGAAAGTGATGTTTCCTTTTCTCATACAGTTGGACATGCAATTGCGACCCAGAGCTCAATTAATAATGTTTGCTGAGTGTGTACTCTGCTGGCCCCAGCTCCAGACCATTCAGATGCCTTGGTTGATTTTACGTACAGGAAGTCCTCGACTTACAACAGTTGATTTAGTGACCGTTCAAAGTTACAACATCACTGAAAAAAGTGATTTATGGCCATTGTTCACACATACAACTCTTGCAGCATCCCCAGATGCTTGGCAATTGACTCATTTTTATGATAGCTATCATGTCCCGGGATCATGTGATCCTCTTTTACGATCTTCTAATAAGCAAAGTCAATGGAGAACCCAGACTCACTTAACAACTGTGTTACTAACTTAACAATTGCAATGATTCACTTAACAACTGTGGCAAGAAAGATCATAAAATGGGGCAAAACTCACTTAACACATGTCTCATTTCGCAACAGAAATTTTGGGCTCAATTGCTGTCATAAGTCAGAACACAATATTTCAGTAAATATTTCTTTTTGCATTTGCTTCCTTGCAAGCTCCCCTTTTAAAACCCTATCATTGGGCCTTTTCCTCCACAGGGGCCTGTTTGGAAAGGGATCAGATTCATTCAGTAAACCTGGAACAAGCTGGGAATGTAGGAAAAGAATAAAAAATCCCACAATTTAGCTAGGTCAAAAATGCATCTGGAAAGGAAGAAGTGTTGAAGGAGACAAAGCTATATCTGAATTTTTAGAAAGAGGGCATCGGGATTGTTACAATTCCTGACACATGGTTCACAGCTTGCAAACGGATTAACAGTTAGGACATGTTTCCTGTTGGCTCTGATATTTGCTTACTCACTTGCCAAGCTTCCAGTTCCTGGGAAAGTGCCATTTTCTGTCGAATGACACGCAGCAACTGTTGGCTCAGCGAATCGCGTTCCAGGGAGATTTTTGCCAATTCCAATTCTATTTCGCCTTTCCTGGTAGGAAAAAAAGTGTTGACAGTCATCATAGTGATACATTCTGGAGCACTACCAAAACACTGCCAGCGTTAACAAAATCCCCATCAGTCAATTGCAAAAGACAGCTTTACTTGGAACAGTAAGGGTCATGAATGAAGGTGAATATATGTGTCCCAGGATAATGTTTCAGGATCCAATCTGGATCAGTCACCAGGACCAGAGGTTTTGTCTTCCGAGCTTTTGGACTCGTGCTGGAGCCCACCTTCAGGGAGAAGTTCCCTGTGGATGGGCTCCAGCATGAGTCCGAAAGCTCGGAAGACAAAACCTCTGGTCCTGGTGACCGACCCAGATTGGATCGGGGCCCTTGGGAAGGGCTTAATAGGTGGACAAAAATGCCAAATCCTCTCTAACCATCCGGGTGACTTCGTAATAATTTTATTATTTTCATATTATAATATATATATATTATAATATATAGACTAGACTAGACTAGACTAGGCTGGGCTGGGCTGGAATGGAATGGAATGGAATGGAATGGAATGGAATGGAATGGACTGGAATGGAATGGAATGGAATGGAATGGAATGGAACAGAACAGAACAGAACAGAATAGACATAGAGGAATGGAATGGAATAAAATAGAAGAATGGAATGGAATGGAATGGAATGGAATGGAATGGAATGGAATGGAATGGAATAGAATAGAATAGAATAGAATAAGTCCTCGACTTACAACAGTTCATTTGGTGACCATTCAAAGTTACAAAGGCACTGAAAAAATGATTTGTGACCATTTTTCACACTTATGATCGTTGCAGCATCCCCATGGTTACATGATTTACATTCAGATGCTTGGCAACTGGCATGCATTTATGAAGATTGGAGTGTCCCGGGGTCATGTGATCCCTTTTTGCGACCTTCTGACAAGCAAAGTGTCAATGGGAACACGAGATTCACTCAACAACTGTGTTATAAGAACTGCAGTGATTCATTTAACAAATGTGGCACGAAAAGTAGTAAAATGGGGCAAAACTCACTTAACAAATTTCTCTCTTAACAACATAAGTTTTGGACTCAATTGTGGTCATAAGTCGGAGACTACCTGTATTTCATTTAGCCAAGTATGATTAGACACACAAGGAATTTGTCTCCGATGCAGAAGTTCTCAATGTACATGCAAAGCAACAGAATAAAATAATCAGAATAATAATACCAATAAGAAGGGGTAGTAAAGAAGGCAAGAAGGATCGTAATAATGCTACAGCCATTTAACTTGGGTAAATATATAGTTAGAAATAAGACAGTATTTTGTGAATTAGGTGTTCCGCAGAGTGACTGTCTGAGGGAAAAAACTGCCCCTGTGAATAATTGATTTGGCATACAATGCTTTATAGCCTTGTCCTGAGGGAAAGAATTGAAACAGTTTATGTCCAGGATATGAGAGGTTTGTAGTAATTTTCTCAGCTCTCCTTCTGACCCACGCAATATATAGTCTTCTAAGGAAGGCAGCTGATTGCAGTTGTTTTTTCTGCAGTCTTAATTATCTCTTGAGTCTGTACCTGTCCTGTTTGGTTGCTGTACCAAACCAGATAGCTATACAAGTAGAAATGACAGATTCAATCATTATGGTGGAAATTTTGAATTAAAACTTATACAGTCTTCGTTCATAATACACCAGATTTAACTGTGATTGAAACGAAGAATATCAGGATATTATTGTCTTCCATAGAAGATAATGAATTGGAGAAGATCACAAGTATCCGAATCTGAAAATTGAAACTGAAAGAATAAGGAATAAACGGGCCATGGTGACACGCTGGATGCCATATCAAAAAATCGTAGATAGAACTTAGAAATTATGAGCACTGACAACATTTCTGTCAATTACAGAAGGCCAGATCCACGTTTTACATTATTGAACTGTAAAGGTGATTGGGAAGGGGTGTGTGTGTTGTATTTTCAGACTTGCAAAATGGATGTCAGCCCTCCCAAGTAAACCAGACAGGAAACACAAATTCTATTTTATTATAAAACTACATGAAGAGAAAGTCTGAAAGAACAAATCTTCCACTGTCTCCTTAACAGCCTGAGGAACTAGAGAAGGTGCCTTCCTATCTCTTTCTCCACCCATTTTGCAGCTGTGGGTTATGCTCCCTTTTATCTGACCAATCCCAGTCATCTCTTTGACTGATCTCCCAAGGCCATTTCCTGTATTATTACAAAAATAGAGAGAATTGTCATCTGTACTTCGGTTTATTTTCACCTTTCTGAGTAGACATTATTTTATGATGTCATAAATTTGTGATATTGAATTTTGGGGAGCTGGCAGTTGCTATAATATTTGCTAAATGTGTCCTTTGGTTCTGATATAACCTGGTGCTATGCTATAAAAAGGGTTATTTTTAAGGAAGCATTATTTTTAAGGGCAGCATTTTCAATTGGATCTGATAGTATTAATCCAGTGACTTCAAACTGGTGTTACTGTGTGGCAACTCCGTTAAAGGTGTGGTTTTAACGTTATTAATTAACCCATTAGCCATAAATATTACAGTTGTTCAAACAAGCAACCTTAACCTTTGCGGAGCGTATAGTAAAGTCAGAAAGTTTATTCAGGTTGAATAACTTTGATAAGCAGAAAAGGAGCACGGTTTGGCTAAAATTGGAAAGATTCAAGGCTGATGCTTAAAGATTTCCTCCAAGGTCTCATTTCCATCGTTTAAACGCTCGCAATAATGCAACATCATCATAAATAAGGCCTGTTAGAAAATGCAACTGTAGCAATAAAAGAGAATATTTGTAGTTTAGGGTTGAAATGAGAAGTCCTTGGTGCTGTCTGAGCTTGGTTGTTTTCTTGCAGATGTTTCATTATCTAAAGTATGTAATATTATCAATGCAATGGTAGAGATTATGACTTCGATTATCTTTTGTTGCATCTGCAGCAAAGCTTTTTTTCCTCACATAGTCAGGGAGGCCTAACTGGGATGGAGATGAGTATCTCTGTCTCGTAATAGTTCTTGCCATGGAACAGTGATTCTCAGCCTTGTCAGATTTAAGATATGTGGACTTCAATTCCCAGAATTCCTCAGTCAGCCAGCCTGCCTAGAGAACTCTGGGAGTTGAAGTCTAGACATCTTAAAGCTACCACAGTTGAGGAATATTAGCCTGTGGTAAACTGCCTTGGAAGATGGAGGTCTCATTTAATTTACTTTGCCAGTGAGCCCATATGGTTGGGTCTAACTTAGTTTTCCCCAATCCAGTGGTGGGTTGCTACCGGTTCGCACCAGATCGGGCGAACCGGTAGTGGCGGTGGCTTGAGGCTCCGCCCACCCTCCCGGATGCTTCTGTGCATGTGTAGAAGTGTCCCATGTGTGCGCAAGCGAGCGCGCGCACACAAACAAACTGGTAGCAGCAGGATTTTGAACCTGCCCCTGCCCGTATCTGATAACTCCAAATGTGATGACTTTGTAAATGGCCGCCTCAGACTTTGAAAGTTGCCTCCCCAAGATAGACAGGCTGGTCCAACTGCTTTGATAGGCAACTAACCCAGCAGCAATTATAATATCAGGAGCAAATGGATTATAGATAGTCCTTAACTTATGACAATTGGGACTGGAACTTCTGTTGCTAAGCTAGGCGATTGTTATGTGAGTCACACCCGGTTTTACTTTTTGGGCACAGCCAGTTAATGAATCACCATGGTTGTTAAGTGAACCATATGGATGCTAAGCAAATCGGGCTTCCCCCGTTGACTTCTCTTGTCAGAAGCAGGCTTGTAAGGTTGCAAATAGTGATCTCATGACCCTGGGACACTGCAACCATTCTAAATACATGCTGGTTGCCAACCACCCAAATTTGATCACATGACTGCGGGGATGCTGCAACGATCATAAGTACGAGGAACAGTCATAAGTCACTTTTTTCAGTACTCCTTTGTAACTTGGAATGATGGCTAAACGAATGGTGGTTAAGTCAAAGGATCCCCTGCAAATAAATCAACGGGGTTTGCAAAGCAAATAGTCAGAACTCACTTGATTATAGCCTCATCTCGGTCTGCTACAGCTAACTTCAAGGCCTTGTCCCGATTGCTCTCTTGGTACAACCGCCTCTGGTTCTCTATCTCGGACTTCAAACCGCTGAGTTCCACGTGTTGCAAAGTCACCTGGGAATGGAAAAAAATGTCAAGCAACATGCGATTTCCAAGCCACACGAAACATTGCCCTCCCATCAGTGGTGGGATTCAAATATTTTTACTACCGGTTCCATGGGCGTGGCTTGGTAGGCGTGGTGTGGCTTGGGCGTGGCTTGGTGGGCGTGGCAGGGGAAGGATACTTAAAATCTCCATTCCCACCTCACTCCAGGGGGAGGTTACTGCAAAATCCCCATTTCCTCCCGATCAGCTGGGACTCGGGAGGCAGAGAGTAGATGGGGGCCAGTCAGAGGTGGTATTTACCGGTTCTCCAAACTACTCAAAATTTTTGCTACCGGTTCTCCAGAACTGGTCAGAACCTGCTGAATACCACCTCTGCCTCCCATAAGAGAAAAATACAGTGCAGGTTACCTGATCATGGAGTTTTGCAATCTCCATTTCCTTCTGGGCCAGGATATCTTGCTGCTGAGAACTCAAGGCCGAAACCTTTTTGGTGTATTCAGAGATGTTCTCCTCTGGTCTCGGAGAGGCCTTCTTTAGAGTGGAACCAGTCTTGTTGACGCCATGGGAGATAGACTAAAGAAGGTAAACAGATGCCCGCCCAAGGAGTGAGAAAACTTAGTGCTAAAAAATAAACTTTGAGGTAGACTATAGGTAGTCCTCGGCTTATAACCATTCATTTACTGACCATTCAAAGTTACAATGCCATTGGAAAACGTGACTTATGACTGTTTTCCACACTTACAACTGTTGCAACATCCCCATGATTACATGCTTAAAATTCGGATGCTTAGCAACTGGCATGTATTTATGATAGGTACAGTGTCCCGTGATCACCATTTGAAATCTTTTGACAAGCAAAAATCAATGGGAAAGCTAGATTCACTTAATAACCATATTACTAGCTTAACAACTGCAGTGATTCACTTAACAGCCATGGTGAGAAAAGTCATTAAATGAGGCAAACCAACTGTCTTGCTTAGCGGTGGAAATTTTGGGCTCAATTGTGGTCGTAAGTCGAGTATTACCAAACAGCCACATTGTCTTCATGTGAATCTTGCCAGGGAAATTCTTCATGGGGCTTTCCCATATTGCATTAAAATACCAACTATTTCTCTTTGGACCAAATTGCCGTGAATAGGAATAATAGGAATAGAACAGAACAGAATAACTTTATTGTCACTTCGAATGTACACTAATTGGCATATATTAAAATGAAATGTTGTTGCATACAGCTCTCAAAGGGTCACCACCTCCCAATATACACTGCATAAACATGACTAAATAAATAAATAAATACATATATACATATGTATATACCCACATATTATAGCTTTATGCATTGTTTCTTAAGAATAGGCCTGCCTCGATCCAGGAGAACCTATCACCACAATATTTTTCTAATGTCACTGTTTTCAGAGACTTTTGGATAAGAACAGAAGAGATGCTGTTTTTCACAGCACAATGGCTCCCCAGAAACAATTTATTTATTTATTTATTTCAACTGCCAAACATATTCACCATCTGGCAGGTATGGAGGAAATTTATTTCTTTTAGAAAACAAAACAGTGTCTATCTGTAGGTTATGAGTTAGATAATTTGTAATTATTCACTGTTTAGGGTCCCACAGAAAGGAAGATACATAAAGGTCATCTCCCAGTTGGGTGGTGAGGTATCAGGGCTGGAAACAGAATATTGTGCTGTGGGGAAGTGCTTTATAATTTATTCCAGCTAAGTAAGAAGATCACATGCTTCAGATCAGTGGTGGGTTTCAAAAAATTTTACTACTGGTTCTGTGGGTGTGGCTTGGTGGGTGTGGCATGGCTTGGTGGGTGTAGCTTGGTGGGCGTGGCAGGGGAGGAGAATTCTCCATCATTCAGTCAGAATTGAAGAAGCTTCTTGGATGAGAAGTAACACATCTTCAAGGAAAAACAAAGTCCAGTTTGGAAAAAGCACCTTTGGGACAGCCAGAATCTGGATGACTGAGAATCTCCATAGACATTTGGGAAGGATTAGTAATGAATCAGATATGTATAATGCACTGCACTCCCTCAAATTAGCATACAAATTACAACCTTCTTTTGACATTGAAAATTTCCCCAGTTGAACTAAAAAGGGAACCTGTTGCAAAACCTTCTGTTTTACCTTTGGTGTCTGTCCAGGGGCTCCTGGGGCATCACCTAAACTGCTTTCGATCTCAGATTGGATGGAGGTAACAGAGGTATCTAACTCATGCAGACGGATCTCTTCCTTCAGATCCTTGACTTGATGCTGGAGACGCCTATTGGCAGTGCGGAGTTCCTCAGCTTCCGCTTCTACCTGTTTAAACTTTGATTGGGAAGAGAAACAGGAAGAAGAGAGGCTGAAAATAGCTTCCGGGGAAGAGAAATGCAATTGCTTTCTTCTTCCTAATTCTTTGTATAACCGCCCCGGGTGACTCATTTTCCCATGAGTAGGTTTCATATCTCCTTCTGTTTCGTCCCTTCAGTTTCAAGACTGGCCCTTGTTCCCCTTCAACGTGACGTTGATGTGGAAGCAGAAACATCAACATACCCGCAGCTGCTTTTCACGGCTCTCTTTGCGGAGAAGGAGGAGGTTCTCGTGCAACGTGTCCACCAGCGCCTGGATGGCTTCGTTCTCCTCACGAAGCTGACGGATCTGTTTCTCCATATCTTGCTTCCGCTCTTGAAGCAGACGATTCTGCGAAGGAAGAGGTCAGAAATGAGATAAGAAGAAGGAGGGAACACTTCAAAGATCAGCTCCATATCACCATTCCCTGCTCAGTCAGTCCAGTGCCTCATATCCAGTTTTGGTTTGGGACAAGTAGACATTGGGACGTTTTTCTTCCAAACCCAGAAAATCTGGAATAACACCGCATACCTGTCTTTATTGATTTCTTTTTTTAAATAAAGACAGATATCACCAAAGTGTGGTTGCCAACTCAGATTGGGCAACTGATTGTTCATTTGTAATAGGAGATTCCACCAAGAAAAGAACATTTAGCAAGAGCGCTTAGATTTATATACCGCTTCATACAGCACTCTCTAAGTGGTTTACAAATGCCAGCATTTTGCTCACAACAATCTGGGTCCTCATTTTACCAACCTTGGAATGACTGAAAACTGAATCAACCTTGAGCTGAGTCGGGATCAAACTCCTGGCTGTAGGCAGAGTTAGCCTGCAATACTGCATTCTAACCACTGTGCCACCATGGCTCCTAATATATGTTTGTAACAAATGATGTTACCTCATTTGGGTAATGTAACATCCGCAAGAAATCAATCAACCAAGGATCCTCAAATACAGCTTTTCATCCTCCATCGTTCTCTACATGCAAAATTGTTAATGTAATACAGGTAGTCCTCAATTTATGACCACAATGGTGACTGGAACTTCCATCACTAAGCAATGCATTTGTTAGGTGAGTCATCACTGACTGCACCTGATTTTAAGAACTTTTAACCAGGGTCATTAAGCAAATCACATGGTTGTGAAGTGAATCTGGCTTCCCCCATTGACCTTGCTTGTTGGAAGCTACCTGGGAAGGTAACATATGTTGATCATATGACCCCAGGATGCTATAATCTTTGTAAATAGATGCTGATTGCGAACATCTGAATTGGGATCATATAACTGGGGGGATGCTGTGATTGGTTATAAGTCTCTTTTTGCAGCATAGTGATGAAACAAATAATCATAAGTCAAGGACTACCTGTTGTGACCAAGGCCCAAGTAGTGATTACCAAACACAATTCAGTCCTCAACAAACTTATTTTATTAAAACAGCTGAGAATTAATTCATTCTCAGCATAGTCCAAAACAAAATTATTAATAACCAGTCCGTAGGCCTTATCACCAACCTTTGATGTCTTTGGCAACCTGCCAAAGGTTTTTCTTGGCAAAAACCCCACAAAGTTCAAGAGATGCTGACTAGAAGCATGGGAATCAACATTGCTTAAAAGAACCCAACAGCTCGTTGCTGCTCTTTTAAGCCTTATGGGAGTGGCCAATCATCTTCTGGCCTTACTCCCGAGTTGTCCTTTTTGCTTCAGCTGCTCTCGCCTTCTGGCAGTTCTTTGCATGCCTGCACTGGGAAAAGGCTCCTCCTGTTCCTCTGCCTCTCTGCTGTCCGCCTCTGGAGGCTCTGGAGTCTGTGCATCGCTCCCAGATGGCCCTGGCCCCATCTCTGCCTCCTACGCAGAGCCCTCGTCTGGGTCTTCCCCTGATTCCAGGACTGGCCCATTGTCCTCCCCAGCCTCCTCACTGTCTGACTCCACTGCGAGGTCCGCAAGCTGCTGGCGGACCGCAACACTACCTATGCTTCTCAAAATGGCTTCCATTCAGTGAGCGCAACATACTTTCCTTGACATAACCAACCCTACTGCTCCATCAGCAGTTTTTGAGAACTGGGCATCATCTCATGATTATATATTCTACTGTATTAATACTGTAACTCTCAGGGGCTTCAGAGAAACAGGGTTACATAAGGATTCCAGCAGAGCTTCCCACAGTGCTCCAGAGTGACACTAAAGGGCCTTGTAGGAAATATAATCCAAATTGCCCAGCATTTCTTGAATCCTGGAAAAGAAAGACCTAAGGTACATGCCAGTGGTGACAATTTTTTTCCCTACCAGTTCTGTGGGTGTGGCTTGGTGGTGGTGGGGTCCTGTGACTGAGTGGGTGTGGCCAATTTGCTGTCACTCATGGCCACACCCACTCAATCACATGACTGGTAGGAAAAAATGTGTGTATGAGCACCAGAAGGGCTCATAGTGAATGCTGTGGCAGAGAGAAGCCGAACTTTTCTCCCTCCATTCACAGTGGAGCTGCTGCTCCCTTTATGGTCTCCCACCTGGCTTCCTCCCTCCCGGGGGGTCGAAGTACCTTAAAGGGACAGGCTGCAGCAGCTCCATTGTGAATGGAGGGAGAAATGTTCGGATTCTCTCTGCTGCAGCATTTAACGTAGAATGGGCCGAGCGGCCGGAAGGGGTCAGGGACAACTGGGCGGGCGTGGACGGGGCCAACCAGGGGTGGTTTTTACTGGTTTGGCAAACTGATTCAAATTGTCCCTACCGGTTCGCCCAAACCAGTCTGAACCAGTCAAATTTCACACGTGGTACATCAGGGGTGGGTTCTAATTTTTTTTACTACCAGTTCTGTGGGCGTGGCTTATTTTGTGGGTGTGGCTTGGAGGTCATGTGACTAGGTGGGCAGGGCTAGCTGGTCAGAGTCATTTCTGGAAGGTCCTCGCACTTACGACCAAGACTTCGCACTGACGACCCGACTCATTTGTTTGCTTTTAACACTGATCGGCTGTAGGACAGCCCTTTGAAGCCCTGCGGCAAGAGTTTAAATAGTTTTTTTCCCTCTAGTCATCAGCTGGGACTCAGGAGGCAGCAATAGATTGGGGGTGGGACCAAATAAAAGGTAAGAATAACGTGGGTCGGGGGGTGGGGGTTGGGAGGGCGGGGGGAGGAGAACCGGTTCGGTGACGTCATATCGTCACCACTACCGACTCGCCGAACCGGACCGACAGGAGGAACCCACCACTGTGGTACATGCTAATAATCAACCATATTGGGGTCTGACGGAAGTCAAAGATTGATTATTGTCTCTACAGATGAAGACTTTCCCAGTGAGAATCAGATGTTCAGACAGGACAGATATGGAACTATTGCAGAGTTTTCCAACTGTTTCGGCTTTGAGGACCAGCGGGTGGGGTGTGGGGGGTGTGAAGGGATGGTTCCATATGAGCAGTGGGCGAGGATGTGCACAGCTCCATTTGTGCAAGCAACAGGCACACATGCCCACTCCTTGCTGAAATGGAGCACATGCACACGTGCTTGCATACTGCTCACGTAAGTGGGGATACATACATGAAGACAAATGCTCACCCACTACTTCCGCAGCCTGATTTCAAAAGAAATCAAAAGGCCCAGTAGTAGGTCGCAGCCTGGGGGTTGGGTACCCCTAGACTATTGGATGTTTTTAAGAGTTGGAGGGCATGGCTCTTAGTTTCAGGAACAGGACATGAAAATGTAGGAAGAGTAGAGTAGAGTAGAGTAGAGTAGAGTAGAGTAGAGTAGAGTAGAGTAGAGTAGAGTAGAGTAGAGTAGAGTAGAGAAGAGTAGAGTAGAATAGAATAGAATAGAATAGAATAGAATAGAATAGAATAGAATAGAATAGAATAGGTCTGGCTCAGCAGACTGATAGCATTGTGATTAACACCAGCTGTCTGCAATTACTGTAAGTTCGAATCTCACCAGGCTCAAGGTTGACTCAGCCTTCCATCCTTTCTAAGGTAGGTAAATTGAGGACCCAGTTTGTGGGGGCAATAAGCTGACTTTGTATAAATATATAAAAGTATGAAGGCTATTGCTTAACGCATTGTAAGCCGCCCTGAGTCTCCGGAGAAGGACGGCATATAAATCAAATTAAAAAAAAAAAATAACAGAGTTGGAAGGGACCTTGGAGGTCTTCTAGTCCAACCCCCTGCTCAGGCAGGAAACCCTATACCAGTTCAGACAAATGGTTGTCCAATCTCTTCTTTAAAAACTTCTAGCGTTGGAGCATTCACAACTTCTGGGGGCAAGTTGTTCTACTGATTAATTGTTCTGAATGTCAGGAAATTTCTCCTTAGTTCTAAGTTGCTTCTCTCCTTGATTAGTTTCCACCCATTGCTTCTTATCCTGCCCTGAGGTGCTTTGGAGAATAGCTTGATTCTCCTCTTCTTTGTGGCAGCCCCTGAGATATTGGAACCCTTAGTCCTTGTTTTCATTAACCTTTTGATAAAAGAGGGAAAGAAGACCGACTTGAGCATAAACAAACCATGTCCTTTCTTTAGCTATGGGCAACTCCAACTGTTCAACATAGGTTTGGGAAGACAAGGGAGAGTTGTTTAGGGATACTAGATGGGGGCTGCAGAATTCCAGGTAACCTCTAGATGGCAGCAAAACAGCAGAAAAAACCAAGCCTCTGCTGCCATCAGATGGTTGTCAGTATTTTTTTAGCCCAGATCTAGTTCAGTAGCTTTGAGTAAATTACCAGTTTACTGTGTGCTGTAAATCAACCATTTTCAGATTAAGCAATAACATTCCTAGAATGGTGGAGAAGAAAAGGTTACAGGCTTTTACCTACCTGGCATCTATAGTCAGAAGAGGGACATTAATAGACTGTCTTTTTTCTTACCTCAGCTTGCAGACTTTGCATCCGGGCAGCATGTTCAGCATTGCAAAGGGTCAGAGTCCGATGTTCTCCACGTAATACAATCAGATCTTCCTGGAGCTGCTGCTCCAAGTGAGTGACCTATTGTAGGTGGTGGAGCAGACAACTCTTGGTTAGGCTTTTACAGTAGGGAGAGTCTCTTTAAACCTCTTTTGCAGGCTATTCTTGGCTCTGGATTGTGCAAAATGATGAGCAGTCCTCATCTTACAACTATAATAGACCCCGCCCATCAAATTTGTAAGTCGTGACGGTCGTAAAATAGGTCAATCATGTGACCAACCCAATTTTACAGACTTTTTTGCGGTGATTGTTAAGCTAACACAGTGATGATAAACCAGCTGCCATGCTCATTAAGTGAGCACCATGGTCATTAAGCAAATCAATGATTCATGATGGGTGCAGTTTTGCCAAAAAAGTGGAAGTAACTACTGAATTTTGGCAAAATCATTGTAAAACACAATTAGTTGATCATTGGGGTCCAGTTCCTAAGCCCCTGAAGTTCAGTCGCATGATTTGGGGGGGTGACTATCAGATCTTCGAATCTGGATCGTAAATAGCTCCCAGGTACAAGTAGTCCTCGACTTACAACAGTTCGTTCAGGGACCGTTCAAAGTTACAACAGCACTGAAAAAAGTGACCTATGACTGTTTTTCACACTTACACACACTTTTCACATTGCACTATCCCATTGGTCACATGATGAAAATTCAGACACTTGAAAACTGGCTCATATTTATGACGGTTGCAGTGTCCCAGGGTCACGTGATCTCTTTTTGCGAACTTCTGACAAACAAAGTCCATGGGGTGGATAGATTCACTTAACAACCGTGTTACAAATGTAGCAACTGCAGGGATTCACTTAACGAATGTGGCAAGAAAAGTCATAAAATGGGGAAAAATTCACTTAACAACTGTAACTTAGCAAGAGAAAACTTGGGCTCAATTGTAGTTGTAAGTCGAGGACTATCTGTACATCGACTATAACTTTGAACGGTCGTGAAGCGACCATTCATAAGATGAGGATTATCTGTGCAACCAAATACTCAGATTCATGCAAGAACTGTGTGAGATGTCTACTTTCTAGTTATCTAAGGGAAGGACGTCCTGTTAGCATATATTAAAAAAACGCCTTTCCTTAACAATTTAATGACTTGGGACATGAACATCTGCAGCTGAATTACAAGCTTTTAATGGGATGTTGTTTCTGGAAAAAAAATCGTATTATGGGTTCCTCTTTCTTATTAGCCTGCGCTGAGTCAAGAGATGTGCTCTGACCTGTGCCCTAAGGGCTCCTTAACAATATCTCCAAGATACGCATGGTTTACATTGCCTTAATTTCCCAAAGATAAGAACAGACAGTAGGCTTGAATGTTAAAAGGAAAATAAACATTTGCACACATATATTTTAATCAAACAACTTTTTAGATAGTTTGTTAGCAATATTGGACACCAATAAGGATATCACATATTAGTAAGACAAAGAGGAAGTATTATTCGGTTTCAATGTAATTGCCCAGTTTACAAAACAAACCGCACACTTTTAATCCCATTAATACATTTCACAAATGCAAAGGCCCCAAAAGAATCAGGCCAGTGACTTTAATTTTTAAATGGTTTTTTTTTTTAATCTATGGCATCTCTGCATTTAATTTTTAAGGACAGGGAGTATTTTAGAACCCTTATCTCACTTGTTTGACTTTCTTATCTTACTTGTGGTTAGATTCCTATGTTGCTAGAATCCTGCCAGTCTGGTTGGTGCTGTTATACCATCGGAACAACAAGACGTGACTCAAAGTTGTTTTTCGTTCTAGCATGGTACATTCCATCCATTGGGCTGTTATTGTAGTGAGAATGAATTTTTATTTGCATTGAAAAAGGAAATCCCCATTTCAATCCGGTTTAACATCACCCACCTCACCTGTGGGGAACCTAGGGTTTTTTTCAAATATTGGTGGACTACAACCTCCATCATTAATACCATGAGCTCTGTTGCTTGAGATTGATGGGAGACAGAGGCTTGGTAGGTTTTCCATAGGTGAATACACAGGGATGACGGAAATTGTAATTCAACACTTAGAAGGCACCTGGTTATTTTATTTTATTTATTTATTTATTTTATTGAATTTCTATACCGCCCTACTCCCGAAGGACTCAGGGCGGTGAACAGCCATGAAATAAAACACATACATATACAAAATTTAAAATCAAATAAAATGAATTAAATAAATTTGGCTGAATTGATATCCATAATTTAAAATACCCATATTTTAAAATATAGTAAAAATTTAAAATTTACACTTAAAAGGGAGAAGATTTAGGCGAGGCCAGCTTGATGAAATAAAAGAGTCTTCAGCTCGCGGCGGAAGGTGCACAGATCCGGAATCCTCCGTATCTCTGGGGGGAGCTCATTCCAGATCGTCGGTGCCCCCACAGAGAAGGCTCTCCCCCTAGGGGCCGACAGCCGACATTGTTTGGCCGACGGCACCTGGAGGTGCCCCTCTCTGTGGGAGCGTACTGGTCGGTGGGAGGCTATTGATGGTAGTAGGTGGTCCCGTAAGTAACCAGGTCTTAAGCCATGGAGCGCTTTAAAGGTGATAACCAGAACCTTGAAGCGCACCCGGAAGACCACCGGGAGCCAGTGCAGTTCGCGCAGGAGAGGTGTTACATGGGAGCTCCACGCTGCTCCCATAACCACCCGCGCGGCCGCACTCTGCGCCAGTTGGAGCCTCCGGGTGCACCTCAAGGGGAGCCCCATGTAGAGAGCATTACAATAGTCCAGACGAGAGGTGACAAGGGCATGAGTGACTGTGCGTAACGAGTCCCGATCTAGAAAGGGACGTAACTGGCGAATCAGGCAAACCTGATGAAAAATCCTCCCGGTTACGGCCGTCAAGTGCTCTTCTAAAGACAGCCGTGAATCCAGGAGGACGCCCAAGTTACGAGCCCTTTCCGTGGGGGCCAATGATTCGCCCCCAATAGCCAGCGATGGCGCCAGCTGACTATATCGGGACGTCGGAAACCACAGCCACTCGGTCTTGGATGGGTTGAGCCTGAGCCCGTTTCTCCCCATCCAGATCCGTACGGCCTCCAGGCACTGGGACATCACTTCAAGGGCATCGTTGGGGTGGTCCGGGGTGGAGATGTACAGCTTAGAGAAGATTCCTCCTCTTCTCCCTCCCAGCCACTATCCACAAAATTCTAGTTAAGGATACAGATGAATTTAGTCTTTTTAAGAGGGATGGGACTGACCACTCTGATTTATTTTAAGATTTACAGTAGCTTACACTGATACACACTTTTGAAATTTCAGTGTTTTGAGTCCTCCTTCTCTTGTGCATTTCTGCAATCAGCAGATCAAACAAGGTGTGAGATATTTTAAAAGATGGTGCCTCATTCGGCAATCTCTTTCTTGCCTCCGAAACTTGTAAAATCCCCCTCAGGTTACTCAATACACCCTTTTTAACATGAGTGATTCACCTGAGAACAACTCTAGCCTCTAATCTGGTTAACTCATATCCAGTATTGAGTTCTTGCTTGTTTTCCTGTTTCATAGCAGGTAATAAACATCTTCAGGAAAACAAACAAAGCCCAGAGAACATCAGGAACTTGTCAGCTCAACTCTGAGCTTCATATATTCTCAACTGCTGGATATGACAGCATGCTAAAATATATTACAGTACAGGCCTTTAACCTACAAGCCAAGCTTCCTCTTCTCTTAACGAGAACATTGAGAACCAAGCCTACTAGATTGCACTCATAAATTTGACGTTTTGCCCCTTTACCTTCATTGCCACAGAACTGGATGTGGGAGAAACAGACTCTGGATGGGGAGAAACAGACTCAGGCTCAACCCATCCAAGTCCAAGTAGCTGTGGTTTCCGACGTCCTGATACAGTTGGTGCCATCACTGACTATTGGGGGCGAGTCGTTGACCCCCACGGAGAGGGCTCGCAACTTGAGTGTTCTCCTGGACTCACAGCTGTCTTTAGAAGAGCACTTGACAGCTGTAGCCAGGAGGGCTTTTTATCAGGTCCACCTAATTTGCCAGTTGCGTCCCTTTCTGGATCGGGACTCGTTAAGCACAGTCACTCATGCCCTCATCACTTCCCACCTGGATTACTGCAATGCTCTCTACATGGGGCTCCCCTTGAGGAGCACCCAGAGACTCCAGTTGGTCCAGAATGCGGCCGCGCGGGTGGTTATGGGAGCAACATGGCACTCCCATGTGACTCCTCTCCTGCACGAGCTGCACTGGCTCCCGGGGGTCTTCCGGGTGTGCTTCAAGGTTCTGGTTACCACCTTTAGAGCACTCCATGGCTTAGGACCGGGGTATCTATGAGACCGCCTTCTGCCACCAATAACCTCTCACCGACCAGTGTGCTCCCATAGAGAGGGGCTTCTCAGAGTGCCGTCGGCCAAACAGTGTCGACTGGCGGCCCCCAGGGGGAGAGCCTTCTCTGTGGGGGCACCTGCCATCTGGAATGCGCTCCCCTCAGAGATACGGAGGATTCCGGATCTGCGCACTTTCCGCCGTGCCCTCAAAGCATTCCTATTCCAGCAGGCTGGCCTGGCCTAACCTCTCTTTTAAATTGCTTTTTTAAATTTTAAATTTGTCTTATAAATTGGGGTGTTTTAAATTTGTTTTCTGGGCCAAAGGATTTAATGTATTTTAAATGGTTTTAACGTTTGTATTATATGTATTTTATTTTCTGGCTGTTCACCGTCCTGAGTCCTTCGGGAGTAGGGCGGTATATAAATTTAATAAATAAATAAATAAAATAAAAAATAAAACTGGCAGCAGAAACAACATTTGACTGATCTGTTGCATGAATAAAATTAGCGTGGTGCCTCCTTGCCCCTAGGAGAGCTTTCTCTGTTGATTGACCTAACCACTCTGCATTTTGTTGATATACACCAGAAGTCCTCTCTCTTAGGCCTTCTCCTTTGCAATGGGGTAGAGGAAACCCCGTCAAAGTACCACCTCACCTGACTGAGCTGCTCCACCAGACGTTGGTTCTGTTCTGAAAGATCCAAGACCGCCTGTGAGCTCTCTCGACTGGTGTCCTGCTGTTCTAGACGCTTCTGTCCCAGCTGGGCTCGGGTGGTCACCAAGTCAGCCTCCAGCTCTGCCGTCCGGATTTCAAATTCTGCCCGGCCTGATTCGAGGTGCCTCCGGAGTTCATGTTTCTCTTGTTCAAGATGCTATAAGAAGCAGAGCAGGAGATGTGAGGACCAGGAGGAAAGACTCAAGGCCGGTGTAAAAGAAGGATCCAGAATGTGATTTGGGATCCAAAGCACCTTGACTTCAACTCACACCTTCTATTAGGCATTCAGGTTTCTGATACAGGTAGTTCTCGACTTACAACAGTTCATTTAATGATTGTTCAAAGTTACAACAGCACTAAAAAAAGGTGACTTATGACCATTTTCCATAGTTACAACCTTTGTAGCATCCCCGTGATCAGGTGAACAAAAATCAGACATTTGGCAACTGGTTCATTTATGATGATTGTTTGCAATCATCTGACAAGCAAAGTCAATGGGGAAACCAGATTCACTTAACAACCCTGTTACTAACTTAACAACTGCAGTGATTCACTAAACAACTAAAGCAATAAAGTTGTAAAGTAGGGAAAAATTCACTTAACAATTGTTTTTCTTAGCAATAGAAATGTTGGGCACAACTATGGTAATAAATTGAGGACTAGTTGTATTGGTCTATCTCACAGGATGATTATAAGGAAGAGTAAGAAGATGATTGGATATCAAGTGTCATAATTGCATAAGCAAAATGATCTACAATTGATAAGCAATATTCCCTATTCAGAATACAGTATTCAGATATAATCCATGAATGTTTTTTTCAACTGGAAAGAGAAATATTTTCAGGATGTAAGTGATTTTTAATTATTAGCAAAAATTATTGAACACTTCTTCGGCCAGATTGGGCCTTTGTTCTACTAGACTTGAGCATAGGGATATAGGACCTCACTGTCCATTATATGTGCTGCATCTCTCTAAGAGGTCCCAATTTCCAGGACTTCAGACTAAATTCTTTCAGACTCAGTATTGGGAGTTTCTTCCAGAACCTTTCATTTCTGCATAAAATCTGACTTTTTAGAGATCTGCTGCAAAATCAGATGCCAGAATACTGGAAGGGTAGTCCATTATATCTGGAGGACACCAGATGGTGGACGCCCTACAGTCAACAGATCTGAATACAGCATGCCACAAGCTCCAGACTCTACTTTTGAATGCAAAAGTCAGTTTGTCAAAAGCTTCATGAACAAAACACTTTCTTTTTTTTCAAAGGCAACATTTCAGTGGACACCAGACACAGGACCTTCCTGTTATTAAGGAAGGTCAAGCTGCCAGGTTCTGTGACAGAAGGGGTCTAAGGACCTACAACAAAAGGCAGATTGACTCATGCCATCTGGCCTACCTTATGGCTCCCTAAACCAGCCAGTTGCATTGGCTGCAATGGTGGATATCACCTGGAATTAAGTTTCAATTGCCAATCCAACCAACTTCTGGAGGTAGGAAAGAGGTCCTCCTGCCTCATTAGTCTTTCATGCGGATGGACACAGAGCAATAACATGATTTTTGACTCTGAAGCCAAGCCCCACAAAGAAAGGAAAGGGTCTATGATTGAGAGACAGAAGGCCCAAGTGATTTGGGTAGAAAAGGGATGCTCTCAAGAAGTCACATTGTTAGTCTCTTCACTGCCTTAGGTACTGTTGGAAGTGCTTTCCAGGGATTACCTGACAACATGAGGAATTATTTTCCTCCTAGGATTAACTCCCAGGGCCCTGCATCATGGTAGGGCTACTCCTAATGTACTGCAAATTCCTTTCCCCATAGAGGAAGTCAGCTCTATTCAAGAACTTCCTAGCAAGATTATCCACCACAAGGTACAGCAAGCACACCCTATATAGATAGTCCTCATTTAGTGAACGCTCAAAGCTGCAATAGAACTTAAAAACGTGAGTTATACCCGGACTTCACACTTATGACTGTCGCAGCATTCCCCATTGTCACAGGATCAAAATTAGGGCACTTTGTAATTGACATGCATTTACTATTGTATTCTACATGTACTACTTTTTCAAGTAAGGCGTCGAACATATTAAAACACCTGTTTCTATTTTCCCCACAACAACCCTGTTGGATTAAGAGAGAGCAACTGGCCCAAAGTCACCCAGCTGGCTAAAATGGGATTTGAACTCAAGGTTGAACTCACTTCCTAACCTGGTGCTTTAACCACTAGACCAAACTGTTCTAGGGTTGAGTAATCACCACTTGCAACCTTTTCAGCAGGCTTCCAACAAGGAGAATCAATGGTGGAAGCCAGATTCTCTGAATGACAGCATGATACACTTTTTTTTTTTTAACAACCTCTGCAAAATAAATAAATAAATCAGGCAGGACTCGCTTAGCTGCCTTGCTTAGCAACAGATATTCCAGTCCCAATTGTGGTTGTAAGTCAAGGACTACCCCAACAACAACCCTGTAACACTGCACTGTGGTGGTGCAGTGGTTAGAATGGAGTACTGCAGGATAATTCTGCTGATTGCCGCTGACTGCAGTTTGGCAGTTCGATTCTCACCGGCTTCAGGTTGACTCAGCTTTCCATCCTTCCGAGGTCGGTAAAATGAGAACCCAGATTGTTAGAGGCAATAGGCTGACTCTGTAAACCGCTTAGAGAGGGCTGTAAAGCACTGTGAAGCGGTATATGTCTAAGTGCCATTGCTATTGCTGGGATATGATCCCAGGGTGGCTCAGGCCTTGTGTGGAGACTTCACTCTATGTGCGGAGATACCATAATGGCATAACTTGTTTCTTGCTTGCCAGCAAGAAAAACAGGCCAGTGAGGTTAGCTGCCTCGTTTTCTGCCAGCAATCCACTAATTAGTGGCTGAGAGTAAACCAATTGCAACCAACTTGTTTTGTTTGCTGGCTAGTGATAATTAAAGCCATTGTTGTTGTTTTTTCATTTTTCGTTCCTTTGCTTGGATTTTTATTTAATTTTCCTGGAAATCAAGTTATAGCAACAGATTCCACAGGCTATAGAATTCCTAATGAAGAGGCTGTCAACTTTCCCTGCAGCAGCTTCCCTAGGCAGTGCCAATAAAATGCAAATACATGCCAAGGGAAGTGTATTTAAAGGAGTTTTACTCCATTCTGACACACCTGGAGGAAGTATGGGAAGGCAGATCTCCTAAGAGGATCGCACCAACAACAGTCAAGCAGACTTGGCACAGCAAAAGAACATTGCTTTTCAAAAGTGTCGTAACGCTGTAGTTGCCATGGCTTGAAAAGAGCCACAGCCCTGTGCAGAAATATTTGGGTACCGACATTAGTGGGTGAGGCTCTGTGGAAATGAGAGTGACTCACGCTGGGTGCTTTCTCACTTCTGTTCCTGTCAGTTTCACTCACTTTTATATCCTTCTTTCCCCCTTACGTAATTATATCCACCCTGGTAGCAGACTCATGTTGGTTTTGTGATGCCTTCCTCTGGGCCAAACTAGTTCTCCCAGTAGCGTGGCCAGGAATTTCCTAGTTGGTGCCTGTTATATTCGAGGCTAAGGACTAGGGGAGCAGAGTATTTGGGGGCGGGGGAGATGAGAGGCTAAGAAAGCAAAATTTCTCTGCAGGGAAGAGAAGGGAATGGGCTGAAAAGCAGCACATCTCTGAAAAACAGATGATTCCAGCAGATGCCAATGTTGCTTCACTATGCTAAGCAAGAATTCCCATGTTAGAACTAACAATGTTTATGTGGTAGGCATGGCTTCAAGAAAACCAACCTGGCAACCTTCCAGATCTGCAAGGTCTAATGTTGGATATCCTACATATATCTGGAAAACACTAGATCTACTTTTGTCTGAAATGGTATAGGGCTTCCTTCTTAAGCAGGGGGTTGGACTAGAAGACCTCCAAGATCCCTTCCAACTCTGTTATTCTATTCTATTCTATTCTATTCTATTCTATTCTATTCTATTCTACTCTATTCCACTCCACTCCACTCCACTCCACTCTTCTCCTCTCCTCTCCTCTCCTTTCCTCTCCTCTCCTCCCTTCCCTTCCCTTCCCTTCCCTTCCCTTCCTATTCCTATTCCTATTCCTATTCCTATTCCTATTCCTATTCCTATTCCTATTCCTATTCCTATTCCTATTCCTATTCTATTTTCTATTCACTCTCCACCTCCATCCTGACTGGGGAGAGGCACAATGTCTTAGATATAGGGTCAGCTGAAGCAACGGGTAATGTTTTAACAGAATAACCAAGTTGGAAGGGACCTTGGAGGTCTTCTAGTCCAACCCAGTGCTCAGGCAGGAAACCGTACACCATTTGAGACAAATGGTTGTCCGATCTTTGGAGTAGAGGTCTAAAACCTTCACGCATTAAGCATTCTTTCCCATGTTGGTGATTTGTATCTTGTGGGACCACAAGTACTCCTCAGATTGCATCCATTCACGTATTGACTGTTTGAAGTTACAATGGCAATTGAAAAGTGATTTGGGACTGATCCTCACATCCGGAGCACCCTCACAATCACACGATCGACATTGGGCGCTAAATAACCCACACCTATTTACAGCATCCTGAGATTCTATGACGGTCATTTTTGACCATTTCCCAGCCAGCTTCTGACAAGCAAAGTCAATGGAAGAAGCCAGATTCACTTAATGACCGTTTTATGGTTTTAAAAAATGCCATAAAATAGGTCACGACTAACAGCTGCCTTGCTTAGCAGTGGAAATTCTGTTCCCATTTGTGATCCTAAGGTGAGGAGAATGTGAATCCACTTAATACGTTCCTGTTAAGTCAGTGGCCCCCAACCTTTTGGGCACCACAGGTTCGGTGGAGAGAGTATTTTCCGCGGACTGGAGGGGGCGTGGTTTTGTATGCTGCCTGCATCCTGTGGATGGCGCTTCGCTTGCTTGAGCGGCCCAGTTTTTGGCATGCCACGGCCCAGTCCATGGCCAGGGGGGGTTGGGGATCCCTGTGTTAAGTCATATATTGAAGCCTGTTGGAAATGTTTTCTCATTTACAATTCTGTGTTGAAACCAGGGGTGAAATGCTCCCAGCGATGTGCGATTTTCAGAACTTTTTTTTTTTTTACTTTTTTAGCATTTTTTTACTACCGGTTCTCCGGAACCAGTAGTTAAAAATGCTTTAAAAAGTAAAAAAAAAAAGTTCCGAAGATCGCGCATTGCTCAGCTGATCGTCGGAATTTTTTTTCTTACTTTTTAGGCATTTTTTTACTACCGGTTCTCCGGAACCGGTAGCTAAAAATGCTTTAAAAAGTTAAAAAAAAAAGTTCTGAAGATTGTGCGTCGCTCAGCTGATCGTCGGAACTTTTTTTTTTACTTTTTAGGCATTTAGGCATTTAGGTAGTTAAAAATGCTTTAAAAAGTAAAAAAAAAAAGTTCCGAAGAGCACAGCTGTGCCACGCAATGCGTCAGAGCCTTTTTTTTTTTACTTTTAAGAGCATTTTTTTACATCCTATTTGCCCAAATAGGTTTTTAAAAAATGCTTTTAAATTTTGTTTAAAAAGGCTCTGAAGATCGCGCGCCACACATACTCCCCCGCTTGCTGTTCTATTTACCCCATGCCTCGCATTTGGTATATGGTGGGCACTGCACATGCACGCACACATTTGATGCGCAATGCACATGCACAGCCAGAGAACCAGTAGTAAACCAGTACAGATTTCACCACTGGTTGAAACAGCTCTTGGGAGGGAGGAAGATGAGCTCCTGACTCTCATGTTTTGTGACATGGAAAGCAGCGGGATGAAACTGTGTGAATCATGATCAGGTGATAAGACACAGGCAACTTTAAGAAGCAATGGTCACTGAGCCATTCAAGTAACTAGTTAAATAACCCCAGAAGACAACCTCACAATCCTGTCTACAGCAGTGAGTTATGTTGGGACGGAGTATACAGGTAGTCCTCAACTTACGATCAATTCTTTAGCGATCATTCAAAGTTACCGCGGCACTGAAAAAAGTTAAGACTGGTCCTCGCATTTATGACCATGGCAATATCCCCATGGTCATGGGAATTTGGGTGCTTAGCAACTGGCATGTATTTAAGATAGTTGCAGCATCCTGGGCTCACGTAATCGCCATTTGTGATCTTCCCAGCTGATTTTTTAACAAGCAAAGTCATTGGGGGAAGCCGGGTTCGCTTAACGACCATAGGATTCACTTCATGACTGCAGTGATTCACGTAACAGCAGTAGCAAATAATAAAAGATTGTAAAATTGGGTGCAACTCATTTAAACAATCATCTTGTTTAACAATGGAAATTCTGATCCCAGTTGTGGTCATAAATTGAGGACTAAAGAACCTGCATAGGGTTTTGGAGTTCACTGCCTCTTTTCCTTACCTTCTCCATTTCACGCTCCTGAACACACTGTGGAATTATACACAGCTGGTTCATGCACCTGCGCACTATTTTATTTTGTTCAGATTTCCACCCTAAATGTCATAAGTTCATGTTTATCCATAGCTTGTGGGAGGTCACTGCAGAACTCTTCCATTGCAACGAGGCAAATCTACCACTGTTAGATAGGTAGTCCTTGACTTACGACCATAATTGAGCCCCAAATTTCTGTTGCTAAGTAAGACATTTCTTAAGTGAGTTTTGCCCCATTTTATGACCTTTCTTGCCACAGTTGTTAAGTGAATCTTGCAGTTGTTAAGTTAGTAATACAGTTGTTTAATTGAAACTGGCTTGCCCATTAACTTTGCTGGTCAGAAGGTCACAAAAAGGGATCATACAACCTCAGGGATACTGCCACCGTCATAAATATGAGTCAGTTGCCAAGTGTCTGAATTTTGATCGTATGACCGTGGAGATGCTGCAACAGCCATACATGTGGAAAATGGTCATAAGTCACTTTTTTCAAGGCCATTGTAACTTCAAGCGGTCGTTAAATGAACTGTTGTAAGTTGAGGACTACCATAGAATGTTCCTACTTCAGAGAATGTCCTGATGCAACCTAAGATTTTTTTTTCAATTAAATGTATTATCTCTATCCTGGAAAGAATTTAAAGAGATGCACAAGGAGTAAAATACGGCCTGATGTTTGAAGGTTGTAGATGCCCAGTGAAATCCCAGTGATAAACTCTGGGCGAGAAGGATGAAAATAGAAATCTGGGAAGCAGACAAGGTGAAGGGTTCAACGATGGGATGGCAACAAGGGGTGGGCTGTAGGATTTTGAATCCATAACTTTGGCGAGAAAGTACAATACAGCACAGCACATGAGAAAATTCCCATTTTTGAGACTTTCTTTTTCTTTTCATAGCAACCTAGCAAATACACTGGATGAAGAGAACATGATGGGGCCTAATCCCAACTCCAAGACTAACCCTAATCCTAACCACAACCTTAACCACAACAGCAACTCCAATTCCAACCCTTATCTCAACCCCAATCCTAACTCCAACCTAAACCTAATCCCAATCCCAACCCTAACTCTAAAACCAGCACTAATCCCAACCCCAACCTAACCCTAGCAAATTTTGCATTTGACCAAAGAATCTCATTCCATATCAGGTCTTCTCCTATCTGCTCCTTATTCCAGCCACCTGCCTCACCTCTTTGACTTCCAAATGTTCCTTCATCAGTTCATCATAACGTCGTTCCAGTTCCTCGTTACGTTCCAGGAGCATCTTTCCCAATTCCGCTGCCAACAACAAGTCCTGTTCTTTCCTCTGAAGCAGCACCCCCAGATCTGCATCTTCAGGATCCCCTTCCCCCGCAGCTCCAGTCGCAGCAGCATCCCCTACAAAGGGTGGCTGGCCCTCACCCCCAAAAGGATAGTACTCATCCCCCAGAGCTGGTGGGGGAGTCAGAGGGAAAGGGCTGCGAAGGGGCTCTTCCTCTGAGTTCCTGGAAGAAGCCATGAAGCCATAGAATTCCCTCAGACTGATTAGACTGGGGAGATTTTACAAGCCAGGATGCTGTCGCACTGGTTTCAGGCAGGTTCAAAAGGCCAGAGAAAGAGCTGGCAGGCAGGACCTGGCTTGTCCTATTTCTCCATGGAATAAGGTGTCTTCAGGAAAAGAAAGCCACAGGTGACCTACACCATCCAATGTTCCAGGAGAGATATCAAACTCTTGAAGTCCACCAAAAGCTCCATAGTTGGACAATCAACCTGGGCGATCTCCAGTTCCTTTCCTTCTGATCGGGTTTCGCTGTTTATTTCCCGATTCCAGCCTCCACCCTCCCAGGCGACAGGTGAGGTTTGACGCTGTTTGCTCCACCTTTTCTAGCTCACAGCCTCACCTGTTGCTAGTGTTTCTCCTCTCCTGGGAAATTTCTGACAGTGCAGTTTTTCCACTGCCTTGGTGTATCACAAAAGCAACCAAATCCTGTGGCTTAAAGGCAGGAGAAAAACATCTTCTCAAGCCTGATTTCTGAATGCCCAGCCATATTCTAGGTCAAGCCACATTTTTTTGATCTTGGATTATTGGGGTCACGCAGCTTGAAATTATTTTCTACCAAAAGCAGTTCTCTGAACCTTTAAATGGGAGGTGCCAGGTGAGCAGGGGCATCCAGGTGAAATTTAAACTCTCAAGAGTGAAAGCACCAGTTTAGGCTGCATTTTGTATTTCCCTTTTTCTCAAATGGTTTCCTTGTTTATTTCCTGTTTTCTGCCTTTATGGCAAAGGTTACAAAAGACTTTTAAGCACCTTTTGCAACTTCCTATTGCAGTTCACAAACCTGGATGAAATAAGTTGGTTGCAGACATCAGTACATGCACAGCAGAGCTGAGATTTATAACTCTGCTCTCTTTAGCCACTAGATTATATCTGACTCTCAAATATAATCATCCTCAGTTTTATGACAGAATTAGTAATTCCAGTTCCAATTCTTCCCGTTCTTAAATCCATATGGAATAATGCATAAGGAGTAAAACAGGTTTAAAAATACCCCGCATCAAGCAAAGCAGGAAGCAATACAGAAATTCAGGGGGAAATCTTCATATTTTGTTACGTTGATAAACACGAGCATGAAGAAAACTTTCATCTAAAGGTTACAGCAAAAAAGGGATAACATTGACGATAAAATAAACTGGAACATCACATAAAATTTATTTGTATTCTGTCTTTATTTTTTATAATTCAGTGCGGGTAACATATCCACCATACTTTCTTCTTCCTCTTTTTCCTGTAACAATAACCCTGTGAGGTAGGTTGAGTTGAGAGTGAGTGAGTGACTGGCCCAAAGTCACCCAGCCCAGCTGGCCTTCACGGCTAAGGTGGGACTAGAACCCACAGTCTACTTTCTAGCCTGGTGCCTTAACTGTTAGACCAAAGTGGTTATCAGGCCACTTTATTTAAAAATGTCATTTATAAGCATGACAATGGCATTTATAATGCTCAATTTTTGGCAGAAAGCTGTGAAGATAAAGCAAAATTTCTACTATGGTCAAAATCATGTGTAAGAAGCCAAAAAATAAATTTGCTATGACTTGGTTCAAATAACTTTTCACCCAAAGTTAGATTTAAAAATATTGGTGGAATGTCAGAAAACAAGGGAGAGTTTTTTACCATGTGGGTAAAATTTATGATATGTGAAGTTCTCCTAAAACAGTATATTAATATTGTTGTTGACAGAAGTTAACCAAGTTAACCAAGTGCCTGACTAGGTGGCTCAGTGGTTAAGACACTGAGCTTGTCAATCAGAAAGGTCAGCAGTTTGGCAGTTCAAATTCCTAGTACAGGTCTCCTGCGTGAGCAGGGGGTTGGACTAGATGACCTTCAAGGTCCCTTTCACTCTGTTACTGTTACAAGTTATAGCACTTCTAAAAGTATGATTGTAAGTATGCTTTAAATAAAATTCAGATTCAAGCCAATTTTTAACCCCTGTAAATTAGAAAGTAACCTCATTCTTTTAACATTTCTTATAGTAAGTCATTTTCATATATATCCAAGATCAACATTTGTTTAAAAGAAAAACCTCAAAGAACTAAAAAGTTCTAAGGGAAGGCTATTGTGAACTAAACTTTGAAATCTGGATTAACATTAAACAATTAACTGGCCTAATTCCCGTTTGGTCTAAAAGATGAAATTTAATAAATGGGGTATCAAGCAGAAACCATTTGAGTGAATAATTTAATAATCTAATTCTGGTGATAGATCTGAAATAGGACCAATTTTATCAATACAGATAGTCCTCAACTTATGTTCACAACTGAGTCCCAAATTTAAGTTGTTAAAAGTGAGAAATTTGTTAATTTGCCCCATTATAAGACTTTTCTTGTCATGGATGTTAAGTGAATCACTGCAGTTGTTAAATTAGTAACAGAGTTGTTAAGTGAATCTGGCTTCCCCATTGACTTTGCTTCTCAGAACGTCACAAAAAATGGTCACATGACCTTGGGACACCATAACCAACATAAATATGAACCAGTTGTCAAGCATCCAAATGTAAATCATGTGACCATGGGCTACAATGGTCATAAGTGTGAAAAATGGTCATAAGTCACATTTTTCAGAGCCAATGTAACTTTGAACCATCACTAAACAAATAGTTGTAAATCAAGGACAACCTGTATATATAAAAATCCAATAGTTGTGGACATAGGTGCCCTAAGTATTGACCTCAACAATTTACTCCAAAAATATTTTAGGCCTGAGGCAGATTTTAAAATCAAACTTTCAGCACTGCAGGAAAAAAACAAGCAATACATTTTTATTGCTATAGGTATAAAACTGTCTGAATTTGAGGTCCACCTGCTGAATGCAAACATTAAACTATTTTGTTCACTTGCTAGCTAGCTGTCAAATTCAAAGCTTGATTGATAATATCCAGTTCTACTACCAGATCAAGGAAAAAGTCAGGCAAGATATCAAAAAATGCTGTCTATTCTACTGAGGAGTGCCACCCCTCATAGATTTCAACAACTTTTGTTCAGGTTTTATAATCTTGATTTTGTTATAATTGCTGGCTAATTAGTTTTCTCTGCCAATTAGTTAAAGCTTAACTGGAGGACAAGAAGCCGAGATTAACCTGTCAGCAAAAATTAAACAGGATAAATGTCCCTCCCAGGTATATTGGTTGGGTGGGGAAATCTCCTCCAATATATTGCAATATTACTAACAAAAAAGGGCAGCCAAAACATAGCCTTATTTAAAATCTCAGGAACTTGGGGTGTTGAAGGACTAGAGGTGACATGATATCAGCGTTCCAATATTTGAGAAGCTGCCACAAAGAAGAGGGGGTCCATCTATTCTCCAAAGCACCTGAAGGCAGGACAAGAAGCAATGGATGGAAACTAATCAAGGAGAGAAGTAACCCAGTACTAAGGAAAAAATATTCCTGACAGAACAATTAATCTGTGGAACGACTTGCCTCCAGATGTTGTGAATGCTCCAACACTGGAGGTTTTTAAGAAGAGATTGGACAACCATTTGTCTGAACTGGTATAGGGTTTCTTGCCTGAGCAGGGGGTTGGACTAGAAAACCTCCAAGGTCCCATCCAACTCTGTTATTTTGGTATCTTGCAGCTGCCCTCACTTGGGTTTTTAAACTCTTTGTATGAATATTTTGAGAGTAATAAAAGAGTATCATCCAGTGGTGGGATTCTACCGGTTGGGACTGGTTCGGGCGAACCGTTAGCTCAGACTTTCAGCCGGTTCTCTCTTTCTTTGAAATGGGTCCGCCCACCCGCCCCTGCATTATACTCACCTTTATTTCTGCTTCCGAAGCCCAGCTGATCGGGGCGGCAGAGTGAATTGCCGCTCCTCAGCTGTTTTCCTCGCTCTCAGCAACACGGAAGTTCAATTTTCAGCAAACTCGTGAGTGAACTGAGAGCGTGCGTGCAAAGCTCGCGCTCAGCGAACCGGTTGTTAAACCGGTATGATCCCACCATTGGGACCATCTATACTTGTAATTAATTTTGCCCATTGTCTGAGTAGTGAGAGGGCTACCTGAACCCTGAGTAGTGAGAGGGCTACCTGAACCCATTTGGGGGAGGAGGTGGATATTTGTTTAAATTTCTATACCGCCCTACCTCCGGATAGGCCGGAGGTGTCAACTCCTCTCTCCCCAAATCCTTTTTGACCCCCTGCCCCCTCCTTATCTGAAATAGCAGTTTGGTAGTTTCCACTGCCACTCCCAAACTTCCTTTACTTTGCATCATTTCTCCCTCATTTCTGGCATGGGGGTGGGGAGATGGATCATCCCTCCCTGCTGCCTTTCTGGCAGATATAAGGAGAAACAAGTTAACTTTTAATATTGGTGTTTAAACTACCCTTGCCTCTATTTTAAATTTTGATATTCAGTTTTTATGTTTTTGACATGTTATTTGTACATTACCCAGAGTCCCTCTTTAAGGGAGATAGGCAGTTTCTAATGTTATTAAATACAATTAAATATTAAAATAAAATAGAAATAATAAAATATTGCTATTGCAATGGCCTCGTCTTTTGACCATGTCTCCTATGATAGTGTGTGTGTGTGTGTGTGTGTATGAAACGTCTGCAAGAAAACAAGCAAGCTCAGCACCAAAGACTCTTCATTTTAACCCTGAGCTACAAATATTCTCCTTTATTGATATTTCAAGGTTCAAAAAAATATAAGACAGGGTCTTATTTTCAGGGAAACATGGTTTATATACCGTGATGCGATCACACATTGCTCCTAGAAGCACAAAGCCGAAAACACCAGCCTGAAGATGACGAATGAGACTTCGTCGAAACGTCGCCAAGACACTTCCAATTTTACACAGGAGAAAACCCGAATAACCAAAGACCTACATACAAACACCCGCAAAAACCTCTGTCTCCTGACCGTATACGATGTTCAGGAGACATATTTCATGTCTATGGTAGAACTAGAACTCACCGTGTCCTGGTGATTGGCCTAAAGTTATCCAGCCTGCTTTCATGCTGAAGGACTAAAAAGACTAGAATTCATCATCTCCTGGTTTCTAGCCTCATGCTTTAACCCAAACTGGCTCTTGCCAAATTCGACTGACTTAAGCACTCACAGACAAAAGAGATTAAAATTTAACATGACTTCTGCCTCAAATCTGTTTTTTACAAATAACCTGAATCCCAAAGGAAAGCCCTCCAGTATCTTTTCTGTGTCTCCTCCAGAAACTGGAGGTACTTCCAGTATTTTATCCGAGGTGCTGGGAAGATAATCTCTCCATTTCTTTCCCCAGTTCAAGAGCAGTAACTTCCTTCCGATTTTTTCCCCC